GAGATACAATAACTTCTTCTTTTTTATTTATTTTTTTATTTTTTTCTTTTTCTTTTTTTTCTTCTTTTGTTGCTGCTGCTGCTGCTGCTTTTGTTTCTGTATTTGCTGCTGTATCTTTCTCTCTTTCTGTCTCTTTATCTGTCTCTATCTCTCCTTCTTCTCCTCTGCTGCCGCTGCCACTGCCACTACCACTACCGCTGCTGCTGCTGCTGCTGCTGCTGCTGCTGCCGCTGCTGCTGCTGCTGCTGCTGCTGCTGCTGCTGCTGCTGCTGCTGTTTGTTGTGTGCATGATGATGGGTGTTTCCATTCTGGTTGATCCTTTTATATTGACGATGAAGCGGCGGCCGTAGCAGCAGATGCCTGAGTCCCGCAGCCCCGCCTCCTTTGCTGCATGCAGCAGTGCTGCTGCTGCTGCTGCTGTTGCTGCTTCTACGTGGATTATTAGCGGCTCTACCTTCAGGTCCGTGTGAGATACAATACTCTCTTCTTCTTCTTCTTTTTCTTCTTCTCTTTCTTTTTCTTTTTCTTTTTCTGTTTCCTTTTCTTCTTTTTCTTTTTCTCTTTCTTTTTCTTTTTCCTTTTCTGTTTTTTCTTTTTCTTTTTCTTTTTCTTCCGTTTCTTCTTCTGTGTCTTGTTGCTGTTGTTGTTGTTGTTTATGTTGTTTTTGTTGTTGTTGCTGCGTTTGTTGTTTGTTTTGTGTTTTTATTTGTGTGTTAGTTTGTATGTTGTTGCTGTGTGTGTGTTTATCTTTATTTGGATAATGCTGCACGCCTTTGACGATATTAAAAAGGATTTGTTCTGCTTGATTTATGTTTGTGTATTGATGCTGTACATACACCAGAAGGCTTGCGTTTTTTTTTCTTTTTTCTCTTTTTTCTCCTTTTTTATAAATATGTTTATATGCTGTTATTCTCCCGCTGCAGCAGCTTGTTGTTATAAATAAAGGATGAGAGTTCAACATAGAACAAATAGGAACCAATAAATAATCAATTGAACCTTTATATGACTTGTCTGGCTTGCTGTTCTCACTCCTGCTGCTGCTGCTGCTGCTGCTGCTGCTGCTGCTGCTGCTGCAGTTGGTTGCTGCTGCGCTCGTGCTGCTGTCTTCCTCATCCAGGAGACCCTTTAGGATCTGTTCTTTACGCCGCTGA